GCCGCCGGTTACTTATAGCCCAGCGGATCCGACATCTGGAGATGCCACTCAGTGTGGCTTTTAGGTAGACCCGTATTGAAGGCGTTTGCTGAATATTTCAGCCGTACTGGGTTCTTTACAGGAATGAATAATAACGAGCAACAATCAAGAAATGCAAGCACATTTTCCTTGCAAGGTTCAAAAGAAAACTGGATGGTTTGGTACTATTTGAGCACTTCGGGGATTGTAGAATCTCTTGAAAACATGCCACGCATGATATTGTGGCTAATACGGTGGTTTGCGCAAGAGTTGGATAAAGCTTATATGCTTTTTTATGCTGGTACTGAGACACATGCTGATAAATCCCTTAAAATTCCAAAAACAGTTAGAATTTCCTGATTATAAATACACACTGGCAGGTTAAATGCTATTAAAGTCGAATGCATAAGAGAAAGCCACCCGACACTAATGCAGCAACAATTGTGACTATACTTCCTATAGGCTGGTATTTGCTTACATCAAACAATTTTTTACTTACAAAAACTGCTCATTTAAAAAACGTTAAGGTGATAGACCCGGTAAGGATTACGAAAGGTTGCGAGTTTCTCGATGGCAGGAGCCGTAACATGAAGTCAGTCAACCGGTACATCGATAATTGACTTGTGTACACTAACGTGTGTGGCCGGCCCTAAACCAGAAACAGCGGTCGTTTATTGCTTACATCACCCAAGAGGTACGATACAGTCCGTGGCAGTTTTTCTGTCTCCGAAAATGGACTCTTGAACGAGCCGGAAAGCTTAGCCTATGACTACTGCGCCGAATCTTCTTTCTAAGCCAATTCGGCAGAGAACTATAGAGGGGCCCTCGGAAGGCCAACATGTACAAGAATCACTCACTTACAAATTTGAAGTAGGGTGAATTTCCAAAATCTTCCAATTATTCGCGCGGAAAATTCTTCTTAATTTACATGATTACTGCGCACTGCTTTGTCCCCTGATATGCCCCACCCATTCTATCCCCAAAAAGCAGGTGCTTGTATTGGAGTGGGGCGCGCTTCACGTCCATAGGTTGCACGGTATTTATAGTTCGTAGCGGTCCTCCGCATACGTACTATAATTGTCAGTTCCCATAGCCACCGCTTGAGGTCATAATTGGTGCGGTGATCGCTTATTAATTGCCACAATTTGCTTTTCAGCGTCGGATGCGGGCTTATTAATTGCAGGACAATTATGCTCTATTGGCAATTCTACTAGTATTCGCATACTTATGGAATTATATACCACACTGGTAGCCTAGACACGTATTTCACTGGTATTCTGCCACTGCTTCACACAACTGCGAAGGGTATGACTCATCAATTGGTTCCTTAACAGTCCCCCTGCTTTCTGATAGATACTCCAGTTTTCAAAATCGCGGCTTTTTAAGTTCCCATTAAATTGATGTTCGAACTTGGTAAAGACCACGTGTCTGGGCTTTTAGCTAGTATCTGTAGTTCAAGTATGATAAATGTGATTCCATAAGTTATACTACTGTCGGCCTGTTGGCAGCTTCTGAACGTTACGCGGTTATCCCGCAGTGACTTCGGCCCAAATAGTTATATCAAGTTTCAATCTATGCCTATAGACCTTGTATATACTGACATACACCAAGTTCGAAAATTAATTTCCAAGGAAATTAAAAAGTTGGGATATCTGCATACTGCGACTAATAATCGTCGTCCATGCATTCTCAAAAGCTAACAACGAAAGAGTATACTTTATAAACCGACAGTTCGACCGTCAGTTTCGACGATGCCCACCGCGTGCTTCAGCAAGCTGAAGGCAAACGCAATAAACTTGCGTATGAATCAGTTTTAAGTGATATTAGACTTGCGCTGCATCTACCGCACTCTCTCTTCCCTCGCTCACATGTACCTAGTGTCAAGATAAAGGCAAGAACACCGGAGACGGGATCAGGCGTAATTGGCTGGCACCCCTATGTGTGCCACTATGCCGCCCCCGCATGTTCGGCATTCACTAAGGGAGCGCAACCCAAATAACGCCTGCCGTACCCCGATGTGGCCGCAGTGTTGGTCCAGCGCATCTACAACGCGGCCTGTTTAGGGGAGAACCAAGCCAGTGCACATGGACAGTAATGCCTATGTACAAACATGAACAATTCAGCGATATCGCCGAGGTGGAAAAACAGCCTAATCCATGTACCTGCTCATCCAGTGTGGGACCGAGATG